GAGTTTGCGCATTTGAGACTTTTTTAATTACCTTCCATATTTTGCAGGGACCAGAAGCTGATTACATGCTGATAAATTTCTATGATCCTCCAGTTTATTTTGTGTTTATTATTGTGCGTACAAATGGCAGTTGGGTTGGAAAGCATCTGTATGCACTAGGTAGTTTTATAAGCCTTTTGGGAATGTGTGCTCTTGCCTATTCTAACACACCAAAAAAAAAAAAAAAACAACCCAACTCACTGCCATGGAGTTGGATCTGACTCATACCAAGCCCTCCTTGGGTTTCCAAGGCAGTATCACTATAGAAGTAGATTGCCCAACCTTCCTTCACAGGAGTGGCTGGTGGGTTTGAACCGCCAACCTTCTGGTTAGCAGTCAAATGCCTTAGGCGCTACACACCAGAGCTCCATGTGAATAATTGGTGCATTTTCCAAAGTCTGATTTGTCATGCATTATAATTCTGCAGATCGTTAATAAGTATTTTTTTTAAAACTCAGTTGCCCCTGTGTCTATTCCGACTCACAGCGACTCTTTAGGACAGAATAGAACTGCCCCTATTACAGGGTTTCCAAGGCTGTAAATTTTTTTTTTTAAATTTTTATTATGATTTGGGTGACAGTTTACAGAACAAATTCATTTTCCACACAGCAGTTCACATACGTTCTGTCTTATGACATTGACTGCAGTTTCCCACAATGCAACAGCTCTTCCTATTTCCTCCCCATAGTTACCTCTTCCCTGTGTCCTTCACTCACATGCACACCTGCCCCCTGAGCTGTCTCCTTATACTTACACAGCCCTTTTATTCTCCCATGATTGATCTCTCCAAGGAGTGCATCTACCTGATGTAAATGTTCAGCTCATATACCTATCTTTTGTTTGGCTGGAAGCCACAGGAGTGGGTTCAATTCCAGATGTGAAGGGTAGCTAGGGGCCATAGTCTCAGGGGTTCTACCAGGGTCTATCAGACCAGCAAACCTGATTCCCCCCCCCCCTTTTTTTTTCTATATGATTTTGAGTGTTGTTCCACATTGTTCTCCCTCTCTATCCTAGATCTCCTACATAGATCCCCCTCTGAGTTGTTGACAGTGGTAGCTGGGCACCATCTAGTTCTTCTGGTCTCATAGTCATGTAGGTTGATGATCGCATGGTGTGCCAGTGGCTTGGACTAATTGTTTCTGTGAATCTTTGGTTTTCTTCATTCTTCTTTGCTCTGGATGAGGAGAGACCAATCGTTGCATTTAGACAGCTGCTTGCAAGCTTTTAAGATCCCAGTTACTACTCACCAAAGTAGGACATGGAAGACTTTTTTTGTGTAGTATGTTATGCCAATTGAGCTTGATATGTCTCCTGTGACCATGGTCCTGAGTCAAAGGCCCAACTTCTCGCTCCCTCCGGGTACCTGGCTGTGGCCAAGAAGTGATTACAATCTTGTCTCTTGTCAGCTCTACTATGTACCTGGCAATTCATACAAATACACTTGTAGAATCATTGTCTGCCAGCCTTGTACATGGTCATGGGCACACTCCCCTCTGCATGGTCATACCTAATCGTTCAGCTTGTCTACCCATCTATCCACCTGTAGATCAAATGTTTGCCTTCACTGACAATGCAGTACTGTATGTGCAAGAGGGTTCATCTCTGTTGTCTGTACCTCCCATTCACCTCTCTATGTCTTCTTCTTCCTCAGTGCCACTGTGTTGATCACTTACATTTGGTACATTGCCAAGGCTGTAAATCTTTACTACCATGTCTTTGTTCTGTGGAGTGGCTGATGAGTTTGAACCTCTTTTGGTTAGCAGCTGAGCACTTAACCACTGGGCCCCATGGCTCCTTTTAATAAGTACTACATCAAATAAAAGAAGTTGTCTGGTTAATTAAGTTTGAAAAGCACACAATTGAACAGTGCTAAACAGGTATCTTTCCTAGAGGGCCTTTAATAATTTTTTTTTTTTTTTTTAATGATGATGTGCTTTATCACCACTACTCACCATAGTGGGAGGTAGAACATAAACTTTAAGAACTATCTTATGCCAATTCACTGGCATTTGAAAGAAGGGAATGGATCTACAAAAGTTTGAAAAGTCTGGAAACATGAGAAAAGTTTATGTTTACAATAAATACAGTATTTTACCTGTGTTTACACACTTCCTAGACATTTTACACTCTGTTTATTATGCTTTTTTCAGTTTAACAGACCCATTGCTGTAATTTTATAGGTACTTCTGAAAAAGTGTCTGGAGGTTGAGCATATGTATGCATATTGAGCATATAATTTGAATATGTTAACTAGCATACTATTTAAAAATAAATTATCTCCTTTTAGAACTCAAGTATAGTGTACTCCAAAACCAAGCTCATTGCCATGGAGTCAATTCTGACTCATAGTGACCCTATTGGACAGAGTAGAACTGTCCCATAGAGTTTCCAAGACTGTAAAACTTTCTAGAAGCAGACTGCCTCATCTTTCTCCTGTGGCTGGTGGGTTCAAATTGCCCCCCTTTGGTCAGGAGCCAAGTGTTTAACCACTGTGTCATGAGGGTTCCTGTATAATACATAAAGGTTCTCAAGTTGATTTCATTATAAAGCTTTTTTTTATATGGAACACTATCAGGGACTAGTGTTCCATAGAAGATACTTTGGGAAATGTAGGTCTGGCATTAAAATATATTCCTCAATTTGACTATTTCATGAGGTGTTCAGCTTAGTGTTAGGGAAGAGATCTTTCAGATATTTTCTGTATCATTCTCACTGTTAGATTTTGGTTTGATATTACTATCTCAACTCTACCAATTACTAGCTCAGTAACTACAGTTTTTCCATCTAAAATAGGGATGATACTAGAACCTCTTTGTTAGGGTTGTTCAGAGGATTAAAACAAATCATGAATGAAATGCATTTACCATAGTGTCTGGTACAGATAAGTACTCAAAATTTGCTATTATAGGAAATCATATGCACACATGTTCCTCTCACAGCTTTAGAGAGAGATGGTTTCTCTTTTGGCATTGCCAAAATTAAAATTTTCTTAGCTTGAATTACAAGCATAGGTGCTATATTGAAATTTTAATAAGAAAGCTGCTGGTTTTGTAATTTTTTCCAAATGGAAAATGGCTAAGGTATCTATCTGTAGCACTTAATCTAATAAGGTGCGCTTAGAGACTATCAACATGCATATACTCACCTTTTTATTTTGTAGCAACAGTATGTCTTCCAGACTCAGTCTTTAAGCACTATTATTGCTTAGGCTATTGATGATTTCAAATGGCTCAAGGGGAGAATTCCACCAGTCCCTGTATTGCACAGTGAATACACACACCTGGAACATTGCCAGGCTTCCTGAGAATTTTATATCACATTCGTAATGAGGCAGCATCTCAAGTCTTTCTCACAGTTTTCCTGCATATTTAATGGAACATGTTCAGCAGTTCACATGTAGCTTGTCTGTTCTATAGCAGCATCAGCAAGTGATAACTGTAGGCAAAATAATGAAAGCCTAGTTAAAGTGGTCAAAGTGGTTGAAATAAATTGGTAATACTGTTTAGAACCATCAGTCAGAAGAATATCCTTTGGCATCTCTTGTAGTGCAGGTTGTCTGGCAACAAATTCTCTTAGGTTTTGTGAATCTGAAAGCAGCCAGGTGAGAGCATGCATTACATTCAAGGCTGCTTTCAGAACAAATATGAATGATGGCTGCCTTCTCATCAGGAACAAATAGCAAGATGTCAGACCGTCAACAAAATAACAAAATTATTAATTTTTTTTAACTACTAAACTATGGAATTATAGACTCTTTTCTTTTTATAATTGTTGTGTAGTGATTAATAGCAAAGAAAGTAATACTTATTCTTTTAAAGGAGCACAAATTGAAGAATAAATAGATTTATAAAGCTATACCTTGGTTAGGTAAGGAGCCCTGATGGCGCCATGCTTAAGTACTTGGCTGCTGACTGAAAGGTCGGTGATTTGAATCTACCAGTTCTTTGCTGGTGGGAGAAAGATGAGGCAGTCTGCTTCTGTAAAGGTATCTATACTTGGAAACCCTATAGGACAGTTCTGCTCTGTCCTGCAGGATTGCTTTGAGTCAGAATCGACTTCACGGCAGTGGTTTTTATGTTTGTTCATTTGTTTGTTTAGCCCTATGTATCAGAAAGGTTAAGTAACATTAGCTCAGAGTCACACAGCTAGTAAGTGGCTGAGCAGGCTAGCTCCAGAGTCTGTGCTCTTTGTGACTTGGCTGTGATACTTCTTTTGATATGTTTAACCAATTTGCTCTCTTGCAAAAGGTTGTACTATGTTTAAATCAATTTCACTACACCTTTACTAGTATTGGATGACACAATATTTCTTTTTTCTTTTAAAAAAACAAAATAGTGGTTTACTAGATATAAAATGATATGCCTGTCTATGAAAGTATTTAAGATAAATTTTTAAATAAAAAAATATAAGTTAAATATTTGTTCATTAAAAAAAGAAAAGCTTTTGCGTATCCCTGTTTTTCACCACTGGAAATTTAAAAGTAAGAGGGAAATTGGCTGATGCTATTACTAAAGGAAAATGGTGTCTTGCAGAGTCCTGGAGTCATCTGTCCTTAGGGACTGACCACATTGTTTAACAACTTTGTTTGGCAAGTAATTTATAGTGGAGATATAATTGAACCCCCCCCATCGCAATTTGAGAGGAGCTTTCTGTTATCAATTATAATTTTTAAAATTATGTTTATTTTAAATTAATTTTGTAAATTATAAGAGTTTAATTTCTGCTCATAGTTGAAAATTGAAAACCTTTCAGGAAGGTGTAAAGTGAAAAGTAACACACACACACACACACACCCATGCTCTCTCCCCACCCCTGTCTCTAATTCTCAATCTCAACCACCCACTTTCTCATCTACTATTCTTATTTTCTATAAGTAACTACTGTTAACAATTTGTAAGAATTATTTATGTCAAATTCTGACTTGTTTATTTTTTTATTTACATATATTTTCTATGGTACAGCTGTGAATTCCTTGGAATTGTGAATATTCTTTTGAAATATGGAGCCCAGCTAAATGAACTTCATTTGGCCTACTGCCTGAAGTCTGAGAAGTTTTCAGTATTTCGCTACTTTTTGAAGAAAGGTTGCCCGTTGACATCATGGAGCCATATATCTGAATTTATAAATCATGCAGTTAAAGTACAAACAAAATATAAGGAATGGTTGCCACATCTCCTGCTTGCTGGATTTGACCCACTGCATCTACTATGCGGTTCTTGGTAAGCAGTCATACCACAGTGGACCCTAGCCCTTTTTGGATGAATATGCTACCTTAAATTGTCCCTGATTTCTTGAGATCCCTGGTTGGGAGAAGGATGTGTGTGTGTGTGTGTGTGTGTGTGTGTGTGTGTTAAATGTGATGGCTGGGTGGAGGTGCAGGAGTTGGAGGCTCACTAAAGGTGAACTTGAGTATCAGGATACAGTCTTGGGAAAAGGTTAGAAGTGACTGGAAGGAGATATGAAGAGATGAATATCTGTGAGTTGTTCTGAGAGGGACATTTTTTCTACTACTTTAAAAAATAAATAAATAACAAAACATGACTTTATTTAGCTATTTTCCCTTTTGATTTTATATGATTTAAAGCTACTGTGAAGTTACCATACATATTTAGAATTTTTTTTTTACTTGTAGTTACATCATTTTTTCTTTCCTTTCTTTTTTCTTTTTTAAATGGGTCAGCACATTTTTCTTTTTTTTAAAGTGTTCCTTCCTCTTCCCTCCCAACCCTGATAACCAACAAAGAAAGTTTCCTTCCATATATAAACCTTTCCTTGACTTTTTACAATAATAAACTATACTATATTTGTTCTTCAGTGATTGACTTCTTTCACTCAGCGTAATGTCCTCCAAGTTCATCCATGTTATACAGTGTTTTGCAGATTCTACATTATTCTTTAGTGTTGCATAGTATTCCATTGTGTGTATGTACCATAGTTTGGTTATCCATTCCTCAGTTGATGGGCACCTACGTTGTTTCCATCTTTTGGCTCTTGTAAATAGTGTTGCAATGAACATGGGTGTGCATATATTTGTTCTTATCCTGGCTCTCACTACTTTAGGATATATACCTAGTAATGGAATTGCTGGGTCAAATGGTATTTCTAATTCCAGCTTTTTAAGGAATCTCCATGCTGCTTTCCACAGTGGTTGTATCGTTTGACAGTCCGGCTAGCAGTGTACGAGAGTCCCAATCTCTCCGCATCATTGTCCGCATTTGTTATTTTCTGTTTTGTTGAACTTTGCCATTAGTGATGGGGTGAGATGGTAGCTCATTGTTGTTTTGATTTGCATCTCTCTTAATGATCATGATTATTTCTTCATATGTTTGTTGGTGGCCTGAATACCCTTTTGGTGAAGTGTCTATTCATGTCTTCTGCCTATTTTTTAATTGGATTGCTAATCTTTTTGTTGCTGAGGTGTTGGAATTTCCTATAAATTTCAGAAATAAGTCCCTTGTCAGATATGTCATTGCTGAATATTTTTTTCCAGTCCGTAGGTTCTCTTTTTACTATTTTGGCAGTGTAATTATTGACAAATATGAATTTGTTGCTGTCATTTTGTTATGTTCTTTTTTGTGGTGGTGCTGATTTCTTTGTTCCATATAATTTTCTATTCTGAGCTCATTTTGTTTATGAATCTTATTATCACCTCCTTTGTGACTGTTGTTTTAGTATTTGCGAAATATTTGTGCTGGTTCTCTTTTTTATTTTGATGTGAAGGTTTATCATTTTTATTTGAGGTTACCCTGTGATTTATAATTTTCTTCCCAAGTTTAGAATAGTCCATTCTATCTTGTAGTTGTCTTGACTTCCATACCATCTAGAAGTTCTGTAACTAGACAGTTTTTTTTCCCTTCTTTTTGGTTTGTAGTTGTCCTCATTTGTCAATTGATATTTCTGTTTCCCTGTGCATAATCTTGTAGGCTTATTTACTTTGGATACTTCCATAACTGGGTTGGTTTCTGGATTATGTCACCATATGTGTTAATGGTCAGTTGTTTGCTGTTGTTGGTTCTCTGTCCAAAGGACTCCCTTTAGCATCTCTTGTAAGGTTGGTC